ACATCTGCCCCCCCAGACCAGGGTCCTTGGTCCTGGGAGACAGTGCGGCGACAGCCACTGCCACCCAGCTGACCGAGAGGATGGATGGAGGCCGGGCCTGGACCAGTACCTTCGGCCCAGGGCAGCCTCACGACGGCCACTGAGGAGATGCCCTAAACTCAGGCCCTGAGCCCCGGGGAGCCATCCTCACCCGGCTCCCCTCCAGCCGCGGTGATGGCCACATCTTTCAAGCCCAGGTGGGACACCACCTCTTCTCCAAAGGCCTCCCTGATTTCCCGTCCCCCACAACCTCGAAGTCCGAGACACACACTCCCGGAAGGCGACAGCTATCCCCTGAAGCTCCTCCTGTCCACCCGTGGCCCCTCCCAGGGCCAGGACCACCTCTCTGTGCCCTGTCCCATCCCCCACAGGGCCAGTGCAGGCCTGGGAGCCCCTCGAGGGGCACATGAAGGCGGGAGTGAGTAGGGGCCCTGTAGCCTGCACCCCCTACCCCACTACAAGGCAGCCAAGCTGGTGGTGACGGCAAGAGGGACACACCTGGGGAGAGGAGGCTATCACGGGGGTGCTGATTCATGAAAGGGTTCGCCCAGGCCCGGGACGCAGGCCCCCGGGTGCCACCATGAGAGAGGCCCGCAGTCGGCGGCGAGGGAGATTTCAAGTGAATGACTGCACGTTATTCAGCAGCCTGTTCCTGTGTAATCCCGCACAGGCCCGGCAGCCTGGCCCAGAGCGGTTATGAACCTCCTGGGCTGTCTGACTTTTCATGAGGGGCCCCATCATAAGGAGCACCACTGAGTCTGTGCTGAACACGGTTAGGGTGATGCTTCAGCCCCGACGTGAGCTCCTGGGGCGGGCAGTACCGTCAAGGTAGGACCCCAAGCCCTCCCTGCCCACACCCTGCACAGGGTCAGGCCTAAAGCACAACTTGACAGGCGAATGGAGGCCCCCCGGATGGCCCCTCCCCAGGTTGCAGCCTTGGAGTCTTAAAGGGCTAGTCTGCCGGGAGGTCACATGGGGCAGACGCACGCTTGCAAGCATGTCGTTTGGCTCAGGTGGCTCCGGCCAAACTGCCAAGGCCACCAGCTTTGTCCTGATCCCCATGCAGTCTGCGGTGAGGTCCAGGGTCTACTCCAAGCTTCCCATTCTCTAGACAAGAAAACTGAGGCCCAGGAAGGGCAGGGGCTGGCCCAGGGTCACCCAGAAGCCTGGCAGAGCTGGGGCCATGGCTCTGGGCTCCCTAGGGCCGTGTGGAGGGGACAGCGAGGTCTTGGTGGGAAGTCCCGGGCACCCTCGGGCACCCCCTGAGTTCCTCGTGGCAATTCCCAGCAGATGCGCCAGTGGGCAGCCGGCCAGAAAGAAGTGAAGGCCAGGAGAAGGCCCAGCAGCTGACCCCGTGGGGAGATGAAAGCAGAGGAAATGTTTAGCTTGGCAGGGCACGGTCTAGGCAAGGGAGGAGGGCCGCCCTGGCTTCAGCAGACGATACCCAGGGATGCCAGCAGGCGCAGCAGAAAGGCGCACCGCTGGGGGCGGGCACAGGGCAGGCAGCAGGTAAACCCACCGCAGGTGGCCGTGGGTGGTGACCGACGGGCAGCGGTCGCTGGGGGAGCGCGGGGTAAGGGGGGTGGCGGGGAATCCTTCTGGCCCTCCCGCGCCTCTTCCAGGAAGCCTGAGTCACAGGAGGGGCCCCGGGGCCAGGAGAGCGGCCGGGAGCACCAGTCCCACGGGAAGGGGACAGGGCAGGGCCGCCCGCCTCCTCCAGCTGGGCCAGCCCCGGCTTTGGGGTCTTTGCGGCAAGTGAGGCCATGGGAACAGGCTCAGGCCACTCCCAGGAGGAACTGGAGGGATGGAGGAGCTGGTGACAGCAGGTCAGAGCCCCCATTCCGCAGGAGGGGAACTGAGACCCCAGAGGAGAAAAGTTGGCTCAGAGCCAGACAGTTAATGACTTGTTATCAACCAAGGGGGCTCCGGTCAGGCAGGCCTGGGTGCTGGGGAGACCCACAGCCTCGTGCATCAATGTCCTGGCCAAGCCCTGTTCCAGCACATCAGCTCACTGCCTTGCACCAGAGACCATCCCACCACCCTGCTCTAGAACACTCCATGGCTCCCGCCACCCCTTCCCTGAATCTGAGTCAGGAAATGGAACCAGGGCACAATGCAGACCCAACCTTCCACCTACCTGCATCAGCCATGCTGCTTCCTGCCTGGGGGACAAGGGGGTGCACGCACAGAACACCAAGCAGCTGGGGGCGCCGCCCCTGTTGACAACCTCAGATCTGATCCTGGGCCTCATTTGCGGGTACAGGATGGAAACCCAGGGCGATGACACCCACCCCTGGATTCATCCAGGACTCAGCCAAGCTCCATCCAGGCACACAATAAGTGCACAATAAAGGCAGTGTCCGGGAAGACCCAGGAAAGAGAGCGGGTTCGTGGCTCAGAGGCCCGAGAAGTGGGGACAGCTGGAGGAGCCACATGGGGCTCAGGTCTAACTGCTGGACGAGTTTCTCCTGACGTGCCTCACAGACGCTGCAATGGCCGAGGACAGCAGAACCCCCATCCAGTCATCCTGGAGGATCACCACCTTCTAGAGACGAGCGCTCTGGTCTCTGCAAGGCTCAAGCCGCCTCCCTGCACGCTGAGGCCTCGGGCACTTGCGGATCAGTGCTCACGTCCAGTGTACACCCCACCTGCCTTATGAGGGCCGGCAGGGGACTTGCACTCCTAACAGAGGCCAGGGAGGGGACAGACCCCACGGCAGGCCAGACCAGGGCAGCCAGGCAGCGGAGGGGTCACTGTGACGAGTCCTGGGCCTGGCTGTGACTTCCACCCAGCCCTGGCCTGGACAGCCCTTCCAGATTCAGGACAGGAACCGTTTCTAGCCACCCGGGGGGACTCGCGGCACCAGGCCAGAGTGGCGTTGTACAGAGGCGGTCACCTTCTTGAGCTACGACTGTCTGGAGCCCCTGTGACCTCGGGAAGTGAGGAGCCTCAATGAACATTGGCCTCTCGCTGCAGGACGGGTGGACAACGACTCCCATTGCTGGGGGACAGACCAGAATGGACAGAAGGGGCCTGGCACTCAGCAGGCACCGACACACCCCAGTAACCACCTTCTCCGAGGCTCGGCTTCCTTACCTGGAAGGGAGCCACATCCCCTGCCCCCCGGAGTCCTGGCAACAGGAGACGCTCTGGCCCTGAGGACGTGGACAGAGACTTGTTCCACAGCAATGGACCTGCCCTCATTCCCTGCAGCCTTCGGACGGCCCCAGGGCCTGGCGTCCTGGCCAGGAAAACAGCAGGGTGGAGAGGCCAAGCCCTGCGCCCTCCAGCCAACCCAGCAGCCCACCCAACCACCCGCCCAAACACCCAGCCCTGAAGGTCGGGTGCATGAGAGCAGGGCCACACATGTCTCCTGGTCCTCAGTGCCCAGAGCGCGGCCCCTGGACGTGTGCGTCATGGGCATACACAGCCCCATCGTCCACTTGGTATCACTGTCCCAACTGACAGAAGCGTATGGTGAGGCGGGGGACCTGGGGCGGGCTTGGAGGTCCACCATGCCCCAGACAGGACAGCCCCGCCAGCCCCTCCTAAGGTTGCCCTCTGCCCCTCACCAGCCCCCAGCCCAGCGCCACTTCTTCCTGGCACAGTCACCACCTGCAGGTGTGGGCACTGCCACCTGACCGCCAGCTCCACGGGGCCGGGGCCAGGGCTGCCCTGATAACAGCTTATCAGGGCCCAGCACACAGTAGACACTTTTATCAGGGCCCGGCACACAGTAGGCGCTCAAAGTTGGTGCCTCTGTGAGACGGGAACGCCACCTTGTGGCTTCACCGAGGGCCACCACGCAGACAACAGACCGGCCCGCTTCCCAGGGCCTGAAGCGGGACGCACCATTGCCCACCCCTCAGTCCAGCACCGTGCCCGGCACAGACTGCGTGGCAAGCTGTACGGGGCTGTTGGCAGAGGCCAGCTACCCTAGGGGACCGTGGGGGCACTCTCTCTTCTTGAGTACTTGCAGCGAGGGAGGCCTGGGTGGCTGTGGAGAGGCCCCCTTTAGTCCACACAGCAGCCTGTCGGTCAGGGCCACCCGCACCCACTTCACCAGGGGGAAAACCAAGGCTCTGGTGAGGGGCTGGACATGACTCTACCTCTCTGGTCCTTAGTTTCATCTAAGAAGTGGGGTCAATAACCTCATGGATGGATCTGAGGAGGTCACTGCGGCAAGGTGCCCACATAGGGCTGCAGAGGGGGGTCCCCATCCGGGCAAGGCCACAGTCACCCCGTGTCCACTGACACCCGCTCTGGCCCACAGCCCCACACAGCTCCGGCCTGGGACCAAGGACCCACTGGAGTCTACACACCACTGAGGCTAAGCTCCCAGGCACTCACCACCACCTGCTGGGCTGACCACAGAGCCCGCCAGCCAGGAGGGGAGGCACAGTACCTCCCCGCCAGCCAGGGCCAGAGTGCCCAGCACACTGACCTCTGGACTGGACCCTACTCACCCTCAGACCCGTGATCAGGGTCCAGCCTGTGGGGTCACCACGCTCCACCCAGGTAAGGCCAGGCCCAGGGCGACAGCTGCCCTGCGGTCACGGAGCTGACATGCCACCCACCCCCAACTGCACCGGCCACCAGCTAGCTGCCCTGGAGAACACAGGAGCGTGTCCCCCAGCAGTCTGGCCAAGGCTGGGACCTGCTCTAAGCTGGGGTAGTGCTTGGACAGATGAACCGCCGCTGGGCTACGAGCGCCCGCCCAGTGTGAGAGTCGGGGCTCGCATGGCTCCCCGGGACCTGGAGCTCAACCTGGGTGCCATCAGCTGGGCCGACAAGCCCCGTGGGGTTTGTGGCGGGCAGGGGCGTTAGAGACCAAGTGCCCCCAAACTGTGCGGAGGAGCGAACTGAGCAAGGGGGTGGGGGGCGTCACGCGATCCCCGGCGCTGCTTGGGACACGGGGACTCCGGATGAGGGCCTCCCGCCCCCAGGATCGAGAGCAGAGATCAAGCCTCCCAACCCGGGCGTCCACCGCCGGCCACGCGGGGGAAGCGGCGGGCGGCGTCCAGAGCCTGCCCCCCACCCCACCCCGGGCTGAGAGCTGCACGTGGCAGGCGCCGGGCCCGCACGCGCGCCGCCGAGGCCGCCGGGCGCGGGGTCCCGGCCCCCCAAGAGGCGGCCCGCCCCCCGGCCCGCGCGCCCGCACCGCGCTCTCTCACCGCGCGCGCCCCCGCCCGGGCGGGCACGAGGAGACTGACCTGGCGGTCCGGGCGCCGACTCCACGGGCGGAGGGCTCGGGGGCGCGTGCGCGTGCACGAGGGCACGGCGCGCGCAGGCGCGGCCCCGCTCCGGGAGCGCGAGGCCCGGCCCTCCGGGTCACATGGGCGGCGCGGCCCAATGGGAACGCTCCCCACCCGGGGGCACCCGCGGGCGCGCGCGCGCGGGCCCCGGAGCCCCGCCCGGGCGAGAAGGGGCGTGGCCGTGGGTTCTGAGTCTTGTCGCGTCTCCCTCGCAAGCCGGCTGAGGCTGGACGGCGGGGCGGTTGCGGGGCGGAGGGCGACTCGACCCCGAGGTGAAGCCTAGGCGGAGAGATGGAGTCCGGCGTCCCAGGCTTTCAGGAAACTTCTGGAGTCATGGACTTTCCCCTGTGTCAGTTGGGGCTGAGCCCCACGCTCACAGGACGGTTGCCGTGAAGACGGGGCACGGAAAAGCAGTCACGCCGCCCCAGGCTTGGGGTCAGACAGAGGCTTGGGGTCAGACCGGGGCTCAAGGCCTCCAGGCTGCCCCTAATGCATGCAGTGGGCTGGGACCCCCAGGAGATCTTAAGGTGCCCCCTGGGGGACTGGTGAGGAGGTCCCCTTCTGGATCAGCCCTTCCTAGAGAGCTCAGGCTCCACCAGTGGTGACTTACGGAGACCCAGCACAGAGCGAGGAAGGAAAGGTGGGCATGGAACCAGGCTGGGGATCTCCCTCTCCCCACCGTGTCCCCCACACCAGTCCATGGACCCGCAGCCCAGCCAAATGCCCAGCCTCTCCTCGCAGACCCTGATCCTGCCTCCACTCCCTGAGAGGATGCCCTCCTACCATCCATCCACCCACAACACCCGGACCCCTGGGTCCCGGGACCCCCGAAAGGCAAGAGTGAGCGGCCATCGTTCTCCACAGAGTCCTGCAAGGCGCTCCCCTACCACTGACCCGGCACAGCCTCCCTCCCCGCCGCCTCACTGCCACACCCCAACGCCTGCCTGCAGTTCTTCCCACAGGGCAGGGTCCACCCACTGCAGGGCCCTTGCACTTGCTGTCTTTTCTGCCAGGGGAGTCTGGGCCCAGACCATCCCTGGGGTGCTGTCTTTCACATGTGGTCCCTCTCAGCCCTTGCCTCCTCTGAGAACTCAGTCTCCGCTGACCACCCCTCACGCAGCCCCACAGTGCCCCAAGCTCTACCAGAAAGTCCCCCAGGCAGTTATACACAGCGTCCACTGTGGTCTGGGTGCAGACCCGCATCAGGCATGCCAAAAGTACACTCAGTCACTGATGCGGGTAGTCAGATGATCCCCAGAAGCCCCTGATTCTTCCCTAAGAGGTATCAGGGCTCAGAGTGCAGAGCCTTGCAGATCTGGTTAAAATCTCACTTCACCAGCTCATTTAATCCCTGCACAGCCTTGTGAGGAAAGGACCATTATCCTCTCCATTTTGTAGGTGAGACACAGAGAGGTTAAGAAACTTCCCAAGACCCCACAGCAAGTCGGGAATAGAGCTGGTCCAGGCTTACCATAAGAACTGCAGAGTTGGGGCTCCCGGTCCCTGGTGCCTTCAGGCAGGGAACAGCGGGAAGACTGTGTTGTTGGGAGAGGCAACATCTGGCTGTATTCCAGCTGTGAAGTCCTGGGAGCCCTCCATTGCAGTGAGAGCTGGGCACCCACTAAGACAGCCCATTTCCCATAGCGCTGTGGGACTTCAGGGTCCATTTCAACTCTTGATTTTCTTTTTAATGTTTATCTTGACCTCACCAGAGCACCTGCACCCTGCAGGTTTCACACGCTTCCTCCCCACCTGTCCCAAGTCTCGGGGAGGTCTGTCCCCAGCGCCCTTTGTGCGGAGCCATGGGTGTGTCATTCCTCGTGGGCTCACAGGCTGGGGTCTCTCTCGCCTCCATGTCCCCGGCATCTCTGTAGGACCCTGGGAAGGAGGATCCCGGAGCTTGACTCCCGACACTTGCTGAACACCAGCCTCTTGCAAGACACTTACACCGCCTGTCCGGCCAAGCCCGAACCTCGCCCGCAGCAGAGGGACCACCACCCTCATTCTGCAGGTGAGGAAGTTGAAGCTCAGTAAGGCAGAGCCATGGGAATTCCCTGGAGGTCCAGTGGTCAGGGGGCTTCCCTGGTAACTCAGTCAGTAAAGAATCTGCCTGCCGTGCAGGAGACCCGGGTTCGATCCCTGGGTGGGGAAGATCCCCTGGAGGAAGAAATGGCAACCCACTCCAATATCCTTGCCTGGAAATCTCACGGACAGAAGAGCCTGGTGGGCTACAGTCCATGGGGTCGCAAGAGTCGGACACGACAAAGCGACTAAACCACCACCACCCAGTGGTCAGGACTTGGCCCTTTCACTGTCAGGGTCAGGGTTTAATCCTGGCTTCGTGATGTGGCAAAAAAAAAAAGGCAGAACCGAGATTCAAGCTCAGGTCTGGGGAAAGCAGACACTACTGTGAGTGGAATGGGTGAGGCTTGAAGGGAGACAGCTGAATGGTGATTTTGTAGTAGGGATGGTTCGCTCGGAACTGATCTCCTTTACATGGGAACAGGACCACAGAGGTGACAGGTAAGTGAGGGAGAGGCAGAGTTGAAATCTCAGCCTGAACTCCTAATGCCCAAATCCTCCCTGGGATTGAGGGTCCCACCCTACCTACCCCCAGTCACTGGACCTGCCCCCGCTACCAGCACGGCTGCCAGCTGGGGCGGAGGACCTGCAGGGGAACTGGGTTAGGACAGGAGAGGGGCCACTGGGGCTACAGGATTAGCAGATTAGCTCCAAGGAGGACAAAGACGAGGTCAGTGCTAAGTGGATTTCCAGAAAGCAGCCTCCAGCCCAGCAGGTCTGGCCCCAGAGGACGCAGGGCCCTGAGGAGGGGCTGGGAGCCAGCCATGGGCAGTGGGCAGCCCCCCTGCCACCAGTGGACAGACCACACATCTTAACCTCTTCCTGCCTCCATCCCCTCATCTGTGATGGGGTCAGAGGGACAGCTCCATCTCTGCAGATGAGGCTGGGTGCTGACTTGGCTGCTCCTGGCACTGAGCAGGTACTCAGTACATGTTCTTAGGACGCTCCTTCCAGAATTGTCCTCAGGCCCCAGCATCAAACATGAGAAAAGAAAAAAGCTTCTTTGGGGTTTTTGTTTGTTTATTTGGCTGTGTCACACAGCATGTGGGATCTTAGTTCCCTGACCATGGATCGAACCCTGGTCCTATCTGCATGTCCCCAGCAGTGGAAGTGCAGAGTCCCAACCACTGGATAGCCAGGGAAGTCCCAGAGAGCTTCTGGTTGAACATTAGGCCAGGTAGATGCAAACGCTGGGTGCAAGGTACGGGGCGAGAAGAGTAACTTCGGGGACTGGCCTCTGGTGGCCGCATCACACCCACTTCAGCCCCCAGAGCAATGGCAATTCCCGAGTCCAGTGGGACTCCCCTCCCCCTGACAGTGCCCCACCCACAGTGTGCACCGGGCCCCAAAGGTGTGCACACCCAGGACAGCCCTCACCTGCAGTCCTCCCCAGCCTCCTTCCTGCAGATAGACCATCCCGGGGGTGTCCAGAACACCCGTGAGGCCCCGGGGGCACCGAGAGATCTCCACGAGGCCCCTGTGTGACAGCTCTCCCACCCTTACCTGGGATCACCCAAGTGACCCTCCTGCACCCAGGTCCCCACCGTGGACTCTGCTGTTGCAAATATGAAGAGGAAGCCAGACTTGGAGAACAGGGCCTTGAGGGTTCATGTCTCTCGTCCCCAAATTTCCAATAACACAGTCAAGTTGCTTAAATGATAAGACATTTTGGGGGGGAGAAAAAATTGTTTTATTTATGTTTACAATGGTATAATTTACTACTTGGTATAAATTATAAATAACATGAGAAAAGATAAAACATTCCTTATATCCAGAAAATAAAACATTAAAGAACTGTTGTTTTAGTCACTCACTCTTTGTGATCCCATGACCTGTAGCCCACCAGGCTCCAAACAATGAGACATTTAAATGTACTTCCCTTGTGGCTCAGCTGGTAAAGAATCCATCTGCAGTGAGGAAGACCTGCATTCGATCCCTGGGTTGGGAAGATTCCCTGGAGAAGGGAAAGGCTACCCACTCTGGTATTCTGGCATGGAGAATTCCATGGACTGTATAGTCCATGGGGTCACAAAGAGTTGGATGTGACTGAGAGACCTTCACTTTCACTTTCACTATGCTGAGAAAGAATTTTGCTCAGATATGCAAAATCACTGCAGATGGTGATTGCAGCCATGAAATTAAAAGACGCTTACTCCTTGGAAGGAAAGTTGTGACCAACCTAGATAGCATATTAAAAAGCAGAGACATTACTTTGCCAACAAAGGTCCGTCTAGTCAAGGCTATGGTTTTTCCAGTGGTCATGTATGGATGTGAGAGTTGGACTGTGAGGAAAGCTGGGCACCGAAGAATTGATGCTTTTGAACTGTGGTGTTGGAGAAGACTCTTGAGAGTCCCTTGGACTGCAAGGAGATCCAACCAGTCCATCCTAAAGGAGATCAGTCCTGCGTGTTCATTGGAAGGACTGATGCTAAAGCTGAAACTCCAGTACTTTGGCCACCTGATGCGAAGAGCTAACTCATTGGAAAAGACCCTGATGCTGGGAAAGACTGAAGGCGGGAGGAGAAGGGAATGACAGAGGATGAGATGGCTGGATTACATCACCGACGGCGATGGACATGAGTTTGAGCAAGCTCCGAGAGCTGGTGATCAACAGGGAGGCCTGGTGTGCTGCGGTTCATGGGGTCGCAAAGAGTCAAACACGACTGAGTGATTGAACTGAATTCATTGATGCTGAGAAACAGTCACTTCAAGCTTAGCCGCTTGAAACAGCAAAGACCACTTGCTCTCTCTGGGCGTCCGTGGGCCAGGAGTTCCGACGCTTAGCTGGGCCATTCTGGGTGAGGCTCTCTGGGGAAGTGCACTGTGGCCACCTTCATCTGCAGGCCCCCCTGGGGTACTTGGCGACCTCCAGGTCAGTCCCTAGTGTCCCCAGGGCACCTGGTCAAGCCCACCTCCTGGCCTTTGCACAAGCTGTGCCCTCCATCAGAGAAGCTGCATCAGAGAGCCAGTGGCCAGAGGACCCAGTCCACTAGGGGTGTCGGCAGTGAGGAGGCCCGGACACTCATCTTGCCTGTGTTCCCAGTACCTTCGGGGGCGGTGACGGCTTGGCGTGGACTCCTCCAGCACCGGCCCAGAACAGGCATCAGGCGCACCTCGGGGGCGCCCCCTCGTGGTGCCTATGGGCACGGCCAGCTACTCTGGAGTGAGGCCTGGCTCTTGAGCTCAGCCCAGGGTATTTAGTGCTCTAGTGTCCCCGGCACCACACAGCATTTTAAAAAACAGAGACATTACTTTGCCAACAAAGGTCCGTCTATTCAAAGCTGTGGTTTTTCCAGTAGTCGTGTGAATGTGACAGCTGGACCATAAAGAAAGCCGAGCGCCGAAGAATTGATGCTTTTGAACTGCGGTGTTGGAGAAGACTTGAGAATCCCTTGGACAACAAGGAGATCCAACCAGTCCATCCTAAAGGAGATCAGTCCTGAATATTCATTGGAAGAACTGATGCTGAAATTGAAACTCCAATACTAATGCAAAGAACTGAAAAGTCCTTGGAAAAGATCCTGATTCTGGGAAAGATTGAAGGCGGGAGGAGAAGGGGACAACAGAGGATGAGCTGGTTGGATGGCATCACCGATTCAATGAACATGAGTTTGAGTAAGCTCCGGGAGTTGGTGATGGACAGGGAGGCCTGGCGTGCTGCAGTCCATGGGGTCACAAAGAGTCAGACATGACTGAGCGACTGAACTGACTGACTGACTGTCCCTGAGGGTAGTGCTTGTGAACTGGGAGGCCTACAGTTTCATTTTATGCTGGGCTCTGGAAATTATGTCTCTGGTCTTGCCCAGCCCCTCCACTCCACCCTGGAGACCTGGGACTCCAGACAGATGGTAGCAATGAAATGTGCTGGCAGTTCACCACTCAGTTCAAAATGAGGCACAGAGGGGCCAGATCACACACCCAGGGGCTGGCGCTGAGCCTCTGCACCCCCGGGGAGGGACTAGGATGGGAAGAGCAGGACGCCGCCTTGGCCGAAGCCCACTGGCTGCCCCGCGAAGCTTCTGCACAACCCTGGGGGAGGTCTCTTGTCTCAGTTCTTCGGGGCCCCCGATGTATCTGAGTCTGTCTCCTCTCTACCCCAGGGGCTGGAAGGGAAAGTGAAAGAGTTAGTCGCTCAGTGTCTGAGCGTCAGAACCCCTGCCACACACAGCACCAGCAGTCCACCCGAGAGGGCCCGTCCTTCCGCCATGACACGGTGGGAAGGGCCTGGCTCAATGTATTGCCCCCCTCAGCAACTGAGGCCCAGAGTGGCTAGAGCTGGGAGCCCTCTCGGGTGCAGTCCACAGTCAGGGGGCCTCGGGGGGCCCCGAAAGGTTCACTTCACCGCACAGGAGTCAGCACACAAGAGACGGGACACAGTGCCTGTGGAAGGCAGGATGGCAGTCTCTGCCAAGACAAGGTCCGGAGGCTTTCTGGAGGAGGAAACGCCCCCCTCCCAGAGACCTGAAGGGGGAGGGCAGGTTGGTCCAGGTCAGGGTGGTGGCTTCAGAGGCCTGGGGGAAGGAGGGCAGCCCAGACCACCAGCAAGCCAGCAGTGACAGCTGGGCGGCCTGCAGCAAGTCAGTGAGCTCACCCCCAATGTGGGACACCCCCAGGGTAGGTCCCCCACTTCCCTGCCCTCAGCACAGGGCTCAAAGGCTGGAGCTCCTGACAGTCTGGGGCAAGCGGCTCACGGAGTGGGGTGGTGCAGAGAGAGTCCAAGGGCCCAGGAGACCCAGAGGATGGCAGGGCAGCTGGCCGGCCATCCAGGAAGTCAGAGGTGGGTAAGAGCGGGGTGGGGGCCCCAGGGCAGTGGAAACTGTCCAGCCAGGTCTCCACAAGCCTGGCCTGTCCTGACCTGCAGAGTGAGTCCCCCGGGGGAGCCTGTGGGGAACAGAGGGCAGCCTAGGAACAGGCGGCCTCGTGTCAGAGTCATGGGGTCCCCGACAGTAACACTTCGCATGAGACAGCAGGTCCGAGCCAAGCATACCTGATGAGTGTGAGGGTCCCGAACCCTTCCACACACAGGGCAAAGACTGCATGAATCCAGGGGCTGTAGGGGGCCACCCTCAGGGCTCCCGCAGCCTGAAGACGCCCACTGTCCACATTCGGGTGTGTGTCTGTCTTCTCCCTGGCCCCCGCCCGCATCCTCAGTGTGAGGGATTCAGGAGTGTGAGCCCAGCCCAGGGCTGGGAGAGCTTCGGTGCCTTGTGGGCCGTGGCCACCAGGGGGCAGCACGACTCTCCGACTGTCCGCAGCCAGAGCTCCCTGGGGCGGCTCTCGAGAGCCCCGGGCGAGGGGGTGGGGGGAGACGCCACTGCTCATCACAGACTCCATCATCTTGGGCTGCTGACGGCTGCGCAGGAGGCTCTCTGGGGTGGCTGGCACCCCAGGAAGCTACCAGTGCTGAAAGTGTGGCCTAGCAATGTGGTGAGCTCCCCATCACGGGAGCACCCCAAATGGATACCCCAAATGGATACCGTGCTGAGCCTCTCTGAGGCTCCCAGCTAGAGGGTACAGACCGCAGAGCCCTCACTGACCCTGGAGCTGCGCACCGCTCAAGAGGCTGCACCGCACCGTCAGTTACCAGGAGAGCCCCCGTGGCCGTCGGCTGGGCTCCCTGGGCGGCAGGAGGGGCCGCTCGGCAGGGCCCGGGCCCCACCCTCCAAGGGCAGAGCCACTCGGGGTCTAGGTGACTGGAGGAGGCTGCTGCGCCCCCCGCCCCCCCCCCCCGGGTAGGCAGGGCAGATGCAAAGGCACAAACGTGCAGAAGCGCAGGGCAGGCTGGGCACATGAGGCAGCTGGCACATCGGGACTGGGGCTCACTGTCAGCTGTGCCCAGACGGCCTCAGACGCCAGGTGACGTGCCCAGGCTTCGCTCCCAGACGGCCTCAGACGCCAGGTGACGTGCCCAGGCTTCGCTCCGCAGCGCAGCACGCCCCTCCTGGGCTCAGCAGGGGCCCATGAGGCGCGGTCAGGACAGGGGCTGGCGTCTTCTGCGTGCTCGTCACGTGCCGGGCCCTGGCCAAGCACGCTTCCTGCTGCATCTCCTTGTGTCCCACTCAGCAGGGGAGAAACCGAGCCTCAGAGAGCGGCAGGAACGGGCCTGGCAACAGAGGAGCCCAGGCCACCCAGGCCCCCAACGCCGGTGCTCGCCTAGCCACCCACCTGCCTGGGCGTCGAAGACACTCCCGGATGCACAGATGTCCCCAGCTGTGAGAGCTGGGGACAGAGCCAGGGTGAGGTCCCAGGGCAGGGGGGAGCCGAGTGGGCTCATTATGGGATGTGGGGCTGGGGAGACTCACACGTCCCTTTGGGACTTAGCAAAGAACCGTCAAAAGTAGACCCCACTCTTGGTGAGGCAGTGAACGCCTCGTTCTTGGAGGTGACCCTCTGGAGGCTCCTCTGAAAGCAGAGGGGGGAGGAGATGGCCCTGTGGGGGAGACCAGCCTGCTGTCCTGGGCACAGCAGCATCTGAAACTCCTTTTGGGAGATGCCCCCTGTGGGGGGAGACCAGCCTGCTGTCCCGGGCACAGCAGGATCTGAAACTCCTTTTGGGGAATTTTCTTTGGCGCGATTTATGAGGGACAGGAAGGACCAGGCGCCACCCAGCTCCAACCCGCCTGTGCCCAGACACGGCGTTTGGCAGTGGGCGCCCTCAGCTGGCTCTGGGCCCAGGGGGAGGGGCTGCCCACCAGTAGACGGGACCCCTCCCCCCGGGCACTGGCAGAGGAGACTGGCCACTACAGTGTGGTGCTCATCACTTCTTTAGCAGCGGATTTCTTTCTGCAAACAAAACTCCCTAGGAAGCCCAAGTTATCTCTCCAAATCTATTCATGGTTCAGCGAACTTCAGTAGAACACCTGCTGCGTGCCAGGTCAGTGCCAGGAGGAGACAGTGACAGGGGACAATGCCGGGCAGCTGGGCGGGCACCAGCCGAGGGCAGGCCCTTCATGCAAAAAAAAAAAGAAAAAGAAAATGGCCTTCACTCTCCCACACGTCCTGGGGGAGGCAGGGATTGTGAACATGCCTGGGTCTCAGGCGGGAAACGCAGGCCGGCATGAACAGTGACTGCAGAGAAGAATCAGTGTGATGAAGGAACTTTGGGGTGACGCCCCGGTACGCGCCCCAAAGGCCGAGCCCAGACACTCAGACCAAACCAGGCCTCCAGCGGCTGCCCCACTCGGGAAGCCCCAGGGGGACACAGCGCAGGTGGTCTGTCACATGGTCAGAGGAAAAACAGCGTGGTCCGCCCTACCGTGGGACATTCTTCAGTACCGGAGGGAGTGAAGCCTGACACAGGTGACCACAGGCGTGGACCCTGAAAGCCTCACGCTCAGTGAGAGGCCGGGTGCCAAGGACCATGTGTCCTTCCTTGTACACACAGGGTCCAGAACGGGCCAATCCATAGACACAGACAGGACGGGAACGGCCTGGAGCGGGGAGCGGGGAGCGCCTGCTTCATGGGTACAACGTTTCTTTTTGGGGTGGTGCAGACTGTCTGGATTTGCTCTAAACGGAGGTGATGGTTGCATGACATTGTGTATCAAACACCATGGAATTACACACTTGAACATGGTTCCTTTTCTGTTCTGTGAGTTTTTCCTGAATAAAAGCAGGTGGACACTGTGGAGCAGGTAGAGAAGGTGAAGTGGGCAGGGAGCCCCTCCCAGGCTCGGGGGGGCGGTCACCGTCCCACCCCCGACACTAGCCGTGGCCGAGCCACCGACTTCAGCCCTGGGGCCCTAAGTGGGGTGACGGGGGCACTTCCAGGCTGGAGCGTTTAAGAACCAGAGAGCAGTCCTGTGGGGGTGGATCCCGACGCCTCCCACTGGGGACCACGGTGTCTTCATGTGACGGCGGAGCCTCTGTCGCCCTCCTGGTGGGTCTCCAGGCCCCCAAGGAGCTGGAGCCCCGCGCCGCCTCCCCCGACCGGTCGCAGACGCGCGGTGTGAGTGGGAAACGTAGCTTCAGCAGCCGGGCCGCTGGGAGTCGAGGCTGTGTGTGGCTGCAGCTGGGCCCAGCCTCCACTGACCGCTCACCCACTCTGGGCAGGGCACTCTGGGCAGGCCCTCGATGAGGCCAGGGTGAGCCAGCGCAGGGAACCTAAGGGAACGCCGGAGCCACGGCCCTGAGGCAGATGTGTGTCCGGTGTGGTCGGGGGGAGCCCAGAGGCCACTGCAGTGGGAGGCCACAGCCCCTGGGGCTGTCACTGTAAAGGGGTGGGGGCCCTGTGTGGTTCTAAACAGGGAATGGTAGGGTGGGACTTAAGCTCTGGGAAGATGCGCTGGGCTTTGTGGGAAACAGGCACTTCGACAGCGAGTGATAGAACCCAGCATGACACGGGCTTCCCCCGGAAGGAAAGTTAACTCACGTAACAGGAAACAAAGGGAAGGCAAGCTCCCGGCACACGTCAATCAGGGTGTGCTTCTCTGAGATCCTTCCCTGCCCTCATCCTCGGGTGGGGCACGCCCCTCATGGTCACAAAAAGGCTGCCTGCCTCTCCAGCAACAGGAGAAAGCCTGGAACCCGCAAGGCTGCCCCTGCTCACCTTTCAGTCTACACTTGCCCAACCCTGAACAAATCACTGGCTAGGAGGGAGGGTAGGTGATCTGTGACTGGTCACAGGGTTGCACTGTGAAAACCCCTAACCCAGCCACACAAAAAGAACCTGGGATCTCAGAGCCTCAGGAGTCTATCCAGCTCTGGCTCTGCTCCACCACCCACCATGGCTCCCCATTCCTGCAGGGCAGAGCCCAAACTGGTGAGCATAGATCCCACCTATACTCCTAGATTATTTTATCCCTACAATGATCCTGAAAAGTCAATACAACTATTCTCTTCCCTCTAGGGGGTGAGGAAATTGAGGCACAGAGAGGTTAGGTAACATGCTCCAGGCCACACAGCAGGTAAATGAGGGAGCCAGGGAGCTGGCCCGGAGCTTCCCACACTGCCTGCTTTCTGGCCACTCCTTCCTTGGATGGTCACAGCCCAATATCCTCTCTCTGCTAGTGACGCCTTTCCCTCCACCTCCTCGGTCTTCACAAGCAGCCAGTTCACATGTCACCTCCTCCAAGAAGTCTTCCTGGGCTCCAGTTCTGAGGCAGTAGGGACCTAGGAGCCTGGGGCCACGACTCAGGTCTGTCTCTGGCCAGCTGAGTAATCTCTGAACCTCTGAGAACTCAGCTACGCAGTAGGGCTGGTGACAGAGCTGGGACACTGTGCGAAGGGTGCCCTGAAGCCCCCTGTGCGCCCCCCCACAACCCTTGTCTCCAGTCAGAATAAGCGCAAGGCCTGCCTCCTGCACCTGGAGTTTCCACTGACAGCCCAGTGTAAACACGGGGAGGCACAGGAGAAGTGTCAGCCGGCCTTAAGCAAGCCTGCTCGGCAGGCCGGAGACAAGAAGCAGACTCGCGGGTGGGGGGCTCTGGCTGGAAGAATCGAAGTGGGGTTTAGACAGGACTTGATGTACAAAAAGGAAAAAGTAATTATCTGCAAGGCTTCAGACCAAGTCTGTTCTTAGATAGATGGAGGGATGCAGGGATGGGGGGTGGGTAGATGGATGGATGGATGGAAGGGAAGAGATCACACCGTCCTGAGACTGACCTCAGGCAGTAGCTAAGCATCAGCCAGAGACTAGTATGGAAACTGGGAGGTAAGGGGGCTTCCGGTCAGGTGTCCGCTCCAATCAGCATCTCGGTGTGCTGGCAGGAGCCAAGGTTGGCCCCGTGACAGTCACCCCTGGTGCACATCAGGATTCTGGGGGGCCTTGTAAAATGCTGGTGCCCAAGCACCCACCCAGGCCACTGAAGCCAGCCTTCCCAGGGCCCAGCCTGGGCATCTGTATTGGATCAAAACTCCCAGGTGATTCTGCTACACACCCACATACGCCACCCCGCACGGCCACGAGCTGGACCTCCAAACACAGCTGTTTTCTCACAGGCTCCTCCAGCACCAAACACTGCTGCCCTCTGTGCAGAGGGTAAAACCGGGGCCCAGGCAGGCCCAGTGACCGGCCTCAGGTGAGAGGCCAAAGGGCTAGGCTTGGATCTCAAATCTGTCATCCCCAAATGTCCCTCATCTGAGGCCCAGCCCAGCCTCTCCAACATCCTGGCAGACCAGGCAGGGGGCAGAAATCAGCCCCAGGAGGAGGGTCCCCAGGCTCGAGGCAGAGGCGCTCAGCAGCGGCGACCCAGCCTGTCCTGGCTCTGACTCTGACTCTCAGTGTGACCCCAGGGGCGGCCCCCCGTCTGCAGAGAGGCCGGACCACACCCCACTCTTAACTTGCTCGGGGACTCGGACCCCTGAGGCTCTGACAGACCCTCATGACACATGTGGACGGTTTCACGCACAAATTCTGGGCGTTCATGGATCCACTGAAACCACCCAGGATCCCAGACTCAGAACCCTGAGTCAGAGGATTCAACCAGAAGAACAGAATATTCTAAGAGCTTCCTCTTACTGACCGTGTTTTTGAATTACCTGATTGCCCACCTGCTCCCTCAGTTGCCTGGGAGAGACAGAGGCTAGGCCGGTGGCCCATACCTAGGGGCCCCCGCTGTGGTCTGAGGCCACATCCCCACCCATGCCATGCCCAGCCTGCCCCCTCCCCAAATAACCGCAGGCGGGACAGAGCAGCCATCGCTTCTAGACGTGGGGCCCGCTGAGCCAGCTCCCGTCTTGCTCCCGCCCCAGGTGAGGGAGGTCCCACCCAGAACTGACCGTCAGCTGTGACCCCTGGCCTAAGACCCCACCTCCCCAGCAGGGTCTCTCCTCCCCCTCCACTAGGAGGCCCCACTTTAGTCCTCCCTGCTGCCCAGGACCCACTAGTGGCTGGGGTTGGGGAAGGGCTCTCCAGGGGCTGACTGGGGGCCATGGAGCCCCCAGGTTCTGCCCAGCCCCTAGGCTGTGGCTTGGGGTGGAGGAGGTGGACGGGGTCTCTGGTCTCCTATCCCAGGGCCTCCAGAGCAGCCAGCCCCCTTCTCCTTTTCACGTAGTGAGGTCTACATGTAAATATTTTGCACAGAACACTCTGCAGCTCATGGCGTTGGGGGACAGTGGAATTGCATCAACTCCCAGCTCCCTTCTCACCCGGTGTGGGGGTGAGAGCGTCAGTTCTGCCACCCCAGGGTCCTGACACTGCGAGTCTCTGAGACCCTGCCTTCCCAGTGGCCTTCCTGTCCCCAGTCATCAGAGAAGAGCCCGGGGCTGTGAGTGACTAGTGAATCAGGCTGCTTCCCACCCAGCCCTGCCCTGTGGTGACTGGTACTCCCCCTTGCTTGTTTCAGCCATAGGGTGGGGAGGGGGCTTTTAGCTGCCACAGATGCATTCCTAACTGCTTCACTTTGATTACGGCTCCTTGTGAGAAAGCCCGCCTGGGCCCGGAAGCCGGTCTGGGCTCCGTC